GCATGTTGCAACTTTTGCGTAGCACGCACGCCAACTCCCGTTTCCTTAATGGATTGGAAACTTTTTTATTATTGAGCGCTAACGGATCAAAACCTTGTATTCCTACTATCAACGTTTGCCATGCATCGATACTAATGTATAATTCTCATTATATACAAAAAATTTATTAATGGTAGTTATCTTGCGGTTGATGAACATACGATCTTATCATACAATTTGGCGAACATACGATTATATCTTACATACTACTTTGTCTTGCGATTGATGACGATTTATTTATCGTATCATGCATTAGCAGTTGTAATATCAAACATTCGATAATTGTTCTTAGCATTTTGTAAACATGACTAAAGCAATTTGTATTTGTGTTATAACAGTAATAGCCTTTGTGTAGGCAATTAGCGTTAGTCGTAATTCGAAAGATTACCGTTAATAATTTTTTTGTATATAATGAGAATTATGCATTAGTATCGATGCACGGCAAACGTTGGCCAGTAGGAACACAAGGTTTCGATCCCGTTAGCGCTCAATAATAAAAAAGTTTCCAATCCATTAAGGTAACGGGGATTGGCATGCAAAATGCCAAGGTATAGGCCTTAGGAGTATTTTAATTTTTACATTACCCCTAATACTAAGTAATTTCTTTATTAGAACAGGAAAAAAACACACCAAAATACTTTTTGCCGAATCAGTAAACCCGCGTGCTACGCAAAAGTTGTGCATGCGACACAAAATTGCGACAGCATTTAATCGTTATTGGGGTAGTCGACCATTTGTGACTGATAATGATGATGTTACTATTATCATCATTTATTATATTAATGGTCCGGAGCAAAGCGAAGGACTATTACTGTCTACGCACTATGAAACCGTGAATTTCTCTGTCCGGCACATGATCTCGACCAGTGATGATGACGTTATTATTATCTCATGTAAAATACAGTCAACCTCCTCTCATATTATAGTCACAGTCACTCCCCGGTACTATTGCACAACAAGTTGTTTTAAATATCGCCGCAAGTCGAAATAAAGATAATTTCAAAAAATGTCAAAGTATTTATCTAACGTGAAATTTGTGAATATGGAGTTGGATTTGGAGGAGGCAAGACGACAGGAACTGAAGGCTGAAATAAAGGCTTTGGAGGAGGCAAAGCAACGTGAAATAACGGCTTTGGAGGAGGAAAGACGACAAAAAATAAAGGATTTCATGCGTGAAACGATCAACATAATTGAAAAAAAGGAACGAGAAACGATCAACGTAATTGAAAAAAAAGAACGAGAAACGATCAACGTAATACGGGAAAAATCGGATTTAAGTATCCATATTACGGATCTTGAGCATGATGTCAAAAAGCGCACTGAGCTTTTTTTACGATCAAAATGGATGTGTAACGTGAAAGGTGCTTTGGAGTTTATCGGATCAACGGTAACATTCTGCATATTTGTTTATGTATTTGCAATAATTTTTATTATATTTTGTTTACATATTTTTTCTCTTGATAGATTCAGTCACAGGACGAGACTATCTCGGTTAACGAACCTACAAACAATGTTTTGATGAGGCTGACCCAAGATGCAAAGTTTATATCATATTTAAAGCGAACATGCTCACTTAATGATTTTCAATACAAGGATGTCGAGACCTGTATTAGTAAGGGTAGTATCTATCACACTGCATTAAGAAATTTGTACGGTTCCTACAGGAATGTCGGAATTGATGCGCGGGACTGGAGTGTGAATGAAGTATTAGCATTAGGTGTTCTTTTTCGTTATTATAATATTCCGTA